ATTTCCACAATACACCTTAAACACCCCTCACGACACTAACGAGACACGTAACTTTGTAGACGAATACGTTTTAATGCCTACCCTTCCTTGGACCTCATATTATCATTTTACTAATCCCCTTTGCTTACCATTATCTAACACTCACATCGATATAGAACGAAATAAGGACATGCTATATCGACTCACTACACCACTAACATCTAGACAATTTACCTACATTGGATATAAAAAATCACTAAAAACACACACTGCACCCCGAGCTAATGAATATACACTAGAATATTACGATCATAACATCATCAGAGCTAACCAAGATCAATTCTTAGACGACGATCGCTTCGCTAACCCACAAATCACCGAGAAATTTTTCATTAAAACACCATATGTATTTACACTAAATATCTTCGATCGCAAGTTTGACCACATTATTTCAGAAGCACTAACAGACACACAAGCCTACGAAAGTTTTAAAGAACGCTTCCAAATATTTTCACTAACCTTTCATTTCCTTGCACCACATGAAAGAGATTTGCACTGCTCACACGATATTATGTTGCGCACTAAACAAACACACACATATACTTATTATCGTTTCATCCAAAATCACTTTGACCTACACACTCCCTCCAGACAACCACACCATCGTTTTCAATTCATCAATTCCAAATACACCTCACCATTCTTTCTTAGCTTCACATATTGTATTAAAGATACTAACCTTCATGGTATTCTTCGAAATTATGATCCCATAACCCAAATGTATATTTTTTGTCCAATCACCAAGACTTTTTTGTCTAATCCAAAACACACCTTATGAATTTGCAGTTGGCACTGAAGAACTAACCACCATTAAAGCACTTCAATTGCTTTGGCCACTGCTTCAAACTAAAAATATCATCCGCATTTTAGCTAAATTACTAACAACTTCAGATCTCATCCACGACATCTTCCCCCACGGTTTCTTCCCCGACGACTAACAGGTAAGTATGAATTATACATATTACTAACTAATTTAAATATTAGAAACTCACCATTCTTTATCCATGTTTTCTTTAGAATTTTAGCCTTCATCCAACGATCATCTGAAAAATTCACAAAAGAAAAATAAAAAATAGCAAACTTCTTCAAAACTGTTTAAAACCCTATTAAATTTTTGCACCAACAATTAAATAAATATAATACCAATGCAGTAATTTAATTTATAAATTTTTCCCCCACAAGCAGTAAATCTAATAATGATGAAAATTTGTAACTTAATTTTCCCCAACAACTAGCAGTAAAATTGAAATTCTATGTAGTAAATTAATAAGAAGCAAATGCAGTACTAACCTTTTGATATTTCCATTCACTCGCACAAGAATTCTATCCAAACTCGCACAGCTCGCCCACGAAGAATTGTTTAAATAATGAATTTCAGTTTCAAGCTTTCACAACTCAACAACTCTAACATACGATAACAAGTTTCAAACTTTCCTTTAACCCGGTTGGAAAGGAATTATATACTAAACAAAACTAACCAATGCAGCTTACTAAACACCACAACACATAGCATAACAGCATGACTAAGAAAAAGGAAACCAACGGTACCCAAACCGGATTAACCCAGTTTAAAACTGGATAATTTATTCTTTTGAAGACTATTATAAAGTCTAAGAAAGAAATAATAAAACACAAAAAAGTCGAAAGACAAACCCATACCACAAACAATTTGATTTTTGAAAAAAGGACACAACCAACAAAACATAAGAAAAACCACAACAAACCCAACATAAAACGTTGTCACATAACAGGACCTCTCACAAAAACCGCATGCAATCATACTCCCACTCCTGGCCTAACCCACCAGGAAGGACGTCCTGAGCATGCTCTATAGCCGGCCTAACCCACCGTGCTACATCCACGCTTTGTGACCACACTCCTATTTTTAATAAGAGCTACTCAAGGGTGAGTAACTCTTCAAAATAACTGAACTAAAACAAAAAGCTTTTGTGAAAACAACTAACTAAAATCATAATTAAAAAATATTAAACTAATAAAAGTTTTATAAAATGTAAATTACATTATGCAATACATAGATCAGAATACAACACCAAGGACGAACATCCAAAGACAAAACGACCTCACTACACTCGAGAAAGAATGGCCAACTACAATCAATATGCCGCTCACAATCACAACTCAAAGGATTTAGAGTACGACTTGACTTCGCAGAAAAGGACTTCATTGAACTAGACCAATGACCACCTCGATGTTCAAGTATACGTACAGATCCGAGTAACCAGGCATCCCCTCCACGCACAATCTCCACGCCATTCCTAGACAAGATCAAAACACAAAGAAGTTCTCATCAATGAAACAGAAAAACCTGACATAGCCAACCATTCTGAAATCAGATTTGAGTTTGTTGCGAAAACCCAGTCGTTGTCTTGAGAAGACACAACGATTGAATCTGGGACTTCTCTAATAAGAAAACCCAGAAGAAATAAGATGTTCGCCAAATACCAACGTCCATCATCCATCCTTTGAATTGCAGAAAGACTATTCTAAAAAACTCTGTAAAACCCGGATGGGTGGAACCTGATCTAAACTACATTTTATGATTGGATAAATTAGATATTTTACCAATGTAAAGTATTTAATATTAACCAATCATGATCCATCTGACTAACAATCCACTTATTTGTAAGTGCTGAAATTACTTGTAATTTCAGCACCAGAGAGATTTGAATTTAACTTAGAAATTAGTTGAACTCTCCCGAGTACTTCAGCAGCCGCAATAAACCAGTATACCCTAGATCTATTGAGCCTAGCAGAGACTAGTTAAACAACCTGAGACTAGATAGTATAAGAGTAAGATTAGGATCGGTATTAGACTAAGAAGTTGCACGAATCTATCCGGCCGAAAATAAGATAGCGTGACGAGCAGACGGTGTACCCTATCCGAAATTACTCTATGAGTTATACACTTCGGTCCTAACTCATTATGGTAGATTGAGAATTGCCAAATTGGGCCAAAATAATTTTTATATGCGTTTATTTTCTGAAAGATATTCAGTTTTAATCAACCAAGTGAAGACACTTATTACCCTTGCGATAAGCAAGCGTTTTGCAATCGCTAATATACTATTTTCACCTAAATAACTATGCTCACAGAATGGACAATTAATGTTGCGAAGCTCCGATTCGTCTCTGTGTTTAAGTATTTTTTCTCAGAAAAACTCAAAACCTATTCTCGCTGAATTGTTTTTTTTTCATTGTTCGAATTTAATGTCTTTTTGAAGTTCATTTGCTGAATGAAAAGCGAGTTACGCTCTACAATAACAAAAGTACAATGGTGTTGAAAGCGTATTTTTGTTAGATAATACAAATCTACTTTGTTCTTACCCAAGTCACACAAATTAGTGCCTTGCTCTAGAAAAACAAATTTTGCGTGCATTAAGCTGGTGTTTATTAAATACGAGCCGATACGTTAGTCACTGGTAAAGATTCGATGGCCCAAGTTTACTTCCCGCAGGGAAAATTTCAATCCCGCAGGAAAAATTTACCGTTTTTATTGTTTTTCAAAAAATTACCGTCTTAAACTATATGCCGCCTATATTTTGTGTGCTTCTTTTTATCGGCCAAATTGCCACATCGCTGGTTTTTTCTGCCTTAAGCTTATTTTACTGTAATGAAAAATTCTTTTGATATATTCTCGTAGATTGTTATTTTACCAGTCCTGATTTTGCAATTTTTGTTGCTCAAAAGGTTTATTCGGCTTGTATTGTATTTGTTTTCTGTTTTACTTGTCCTTGATTTATCTATGGTTTAAGTGTAAGTCGTTTTGAATTACTATGAAAGCCATGTTTAACATTTCACTTCTCTAAGTTTAAGAAGTCGATTTGATTTGTCGTTTTTAACAAATTTCTTGGAAACTTATTAAATTTCTGAAATAATTTTGACCTTGTGTGTGAAAAGGCGTTGTATTAGCAATTTTATGAACTGTTACAAAAGCAATGCATGCCATAGGATTGCTCTTTTCCGGAGAAATTAATTTTTGCCAAGTTTCATCACAACAATTGAACACGAAACGATCTCACACGAAAGAGAAAAAACATAGGCCTCAATTTTTTGAATTTTTTTTTCAATTTTTGATTTGTCTTTTCATTTGCTTGTAAATATAGTCACTCGTTTTTGTATCGCAAGTGGTGCGAAGCTCAGCTTCGCCTCTGTTTTGAAAAGATCAATTGATCTCTTTCAGGCAGAATTCGTCTCTCAAAGGCGTCTGAAACATCAAAATTACATGCAAAGTTTTCTCGAAACGGAAATAATTTGTGGGGTCGCAGTTTTTGCAGCTAGCTATATTTCAAAAATTTCGTCCTTGCAAAGCTTGTTCGAAAACAAATAATTTCGATCATTCTATAGATTGCTCCAAAAACTTGATTTTTTTTCCGAAAAACATCTTCCATCGAACTGTATAAAACTTTCAAATCTTCGTCAGTTGATAGCTTGCTTTGAAAAAACTCATTTTTGGCGAATCAGCTCTAGTTATCAGAACAGCTGAAAATATTTTAAAGTTTCATTGCTTCATAGCTTGCTTCAGAAAGCTCGAAGTCTCCGCAAACCATTTTAAGCTTTTGAACAAATAGAAATATTTCAAGTTTTCATCCTTGAAATCTTGAACTTTCAAGTGTTCATCACTTGAATAGCTGCTTGAAAAACTGGTTCGACTTATACATAAATAAATATATATAGTGTTGCACGAGCAAGCTAAGGAGCGTAGTGCAATAGTAGAAGTCTACCTGTTTTCTAACCTAACTTGCAATAGAAGTGCTCATTTCGTGGTACTTCTACTATAATCAGCATTGCAAATGCGTTATCATCTGTTGTCTATTTTATTAGGGGCTAGTATAGTTAAATTAGCATTTGGTTTGACGTCTTAGTAAGGGCGTTCTAGACAGTTCTTGTCTAGCTTTTTGTTGGTCGAAATTTTTTTAATTGATCACAATTGACTGTTGTAGCGATTGCGCTTTCGCTCAAAGAATCAACTCAAACGTACACCGCTCCACAGACGATTCCTTCAGCGCCGGTAGCCTCGAACGGAACTTCATTGGGACTGTCTTTGGGCTCTGCCAATTTGGACAAAGTGGCCCAACTTGGAGCTCCATCAGAGACACGGAAAGTACGTGCCCTGTATGACTTCGAAGCTGTGGAAAGCAATGAACTCACTTTCAAGGCTGGCGAAGTCATTATTCTGCACGATGACAGGTAATATAGATAATTTCAAGTTTTAGTCACAGTTTCAGTTCTGAGTTGGACCTTGAGAAACAAACTGAATGCCATTAGTGATGAAAATTGGTGGAGGGGAGAGAATCATCGAGGAAGTGGGCTGTTTCCTGCTCATTTTGTAACAAAAGATCTTGACGCTCCTGTACCAGGCGAAGAGAGCTATGACGAAAAAGCATCTGGAAAGAAGCAGGGGCTTTCTGGCACGGTGGTGTTCCAGGATGAGGTGAAAGTGATCGAATTCAACAGTGAGCCAGACACTTCTGTTGCTGCCTTGGAGATCAACGCCGAGAAAATATCGAGAGTGCAGCAGTTTTTAGACACTGCAGACCCTACCGGCTCTACTCCAGATCCGCTGGAGATGCTGTCTTTAGAGCGTAAGCTGCTGCTTTTCGTTTTTTGTCTTGCATGCTAATCTTCATAAGTAAAAAATAAAATGATCATACTTACATTTATACAGATGAATGCTATGCTATGGGACCCTTGATAGACGAGCAGTTACACCAATTAGACCTGGAACATGTGAAATTGTCCGAGCTAAATAAAAATGTGATTGATGCCTTGAACATGTACCACAAACTCATGGCGGAGAGTCCAGCCCCCGTGGGATTCCAAATGCCATCAATGCAACATCCTATGGGTATGTATGGACAAGCAGGAGGAAACATGGTGCAGTTGAATGGACAGGCTATGTACGCTCCAGGCCAGCAGATGTCCATGGTCGCAAATGGATCTTACTATGCCCAAAACCAACAACCCATGAACCACACCACTCCCAACCCAGGACAACCGGAGTCGAATGCCGATATCTCGAGCACTGCTAAAATGTCCTTCCAAAATATGGGCAACATTCCTCAAGGGTAAAAAACATCTCATTGTTTATCACTAGAAAAACACTTGGTCCTGTAGGAATGATCGATCCAATAATTGAATTTTTATCTTTACTTTAATTGTATGCAATTTTATCTGGAGAGTAGTAAGTTTAGTTTGTATTTTTTAGTGATTACGGAGTTGCTCAGCCAAATGGAGGATATCCCCAAGGCATGCACGCGAGCCACTTCACTCCTATAAGCAATGGTTCGCTGCCTCCTCAACAGCCCCAATCTCAGTCGTATGGTTCTACCATGGCTGGGGCTCAGGCACACTTGCAGCCGCATATGATTTACTCTCCTCCTCCGTCGTCTCAATATGGAAGCCTAGACCCAAGCTCAATCAACTATAGTGGGGCTGTTCATTATGCGGCAAACACAGGACAAGCCACTCAGCAAATGCAGTAGATTACTAAGATTACTAGTTATGGAATTGATAGCTTACAATTAATTTAATTGCTATACTTGGATGTTGCTAACCAGCAAACAGCGGTTATGTGCATGTGTTCTGGTAAATTGACGTTGGCTCAATCATAACCGCTTAATATGCAAGTTGTTCACAATGGCTAAAAATATTTTTCGTTATTAAATTAGTCATTTCTTCTTGAGCTTTTCATTGGTTATCGAGATACAAGCTTCCGGAGTTCCATCTATAGTTATGCTCATCAGCGGAATTGATTTTACCGTGAAAGGGACCCTACTTATAATCTACTTAACCATTTCCATCGTTGACAAATCCGCTCCCCTTTTTCAAAACACCCGCATTTGAACAACACCTGAAAAGACATTTGAGTTTTTAGGATGAATCGAAGAAGAAGATAGTTCTTAGATTACGAGCGATTGTTTGAGAAACATGAGTTAAAAATTAATCAGTTTTCAAAACAAATTTCGACCCATTCTGATGATTATTTTTGGTTCCTGGATAGAGAAAACAGTATAATTCAATGTTTTAGTTCCAAATGTTTTCGCCATTTTCTGGCATCATCAGGCAAACAACAAAACTGGTTCCTGGTTTTACACGAAATTTTTTTTAAATATAGAAAACACCCTGGGTTGACCAAAATTGCTAGTCATTTATTTCTCATTTATGGCGCATACCTTTCATAAATTTAAAAATTTGTATTTATAAACAGAATGGTTAGCATTCTCTCATATATGAGAGTTAAACGACTAGCATTCTTGCATAATGGTATTGTATGACCACTAATGGGAATTCTATTGCCAACATTTTACCATGAACGGGATGACTACTCTTTTTCAAACCCTGTAAAAATAAACTGAGGCATAAACCGATATCTATAAACAGTTTTATCTCAACTGATAGACAAAAACCTGAAAAAACTAGAGGTTTTGTGTTTTCTGCAGTCAATTTTGCAGGGCGTAGGACAAAGCAGAGAAACTGTGTAAAAAATAACAATATGCATATTATGAATTATTATGAAGACCATCGAGTTTCTGCTCCCCCTTCCCCCGAATAATTGAAATTTTTCTCAGTTGTTTCCATCCATTCAACTCTGAATATCAACACCCAAAACAATTCTCTATAAACTCTATTATTACACTTGAGAGAAAATCAAAATACCATCATCAACTCAATTGCATAAAAATGCTAACATAAACGAATATGTTAACGAATTCGACATAAAATGAGTGGACCGTAAGTTTTCTATGAAATGAATAATCTTTTGGTTCAATGAAGTGAATAATCTTTTGAAATGTATAATCTTTGAGAATAAAAACGAATTCGCCATAAAGTTAATTGACCATAAGTTTTCTATGAAATGAATAATCTTATGGTTTGACATGAGAGTTTTAATTTCGAAGGGTCATAGTAAAGTTAAACCTAAGGGTTGTTAAGGTTTTCGAATGTTTGGTTTGGTAAAATGATACTGGATAAAATTAAAAAAAAAAATTCGGGGACCTCGAAGTTTCGCTCAACGGAGATGGGCGGCATATTCACATTTAGCTGCTTACGTGTGCGCGCAGCCGTTCAGATCAGTTTGTCTTTCGTTGGGAAAATAAACTGAGTGGTCAAATCATTTGTAACTGGCAAAACCGCAAGCACTGGTAAGTGCGACAGACAAGGCAAATCTCTCGAGATCTTTTAAATGTTTGATGACATTTCGGGCATCTGATTTTCCCGCTGAAATGTCACGGTTATGCTCTCCCTCCGCGCGTCTCGATCAATTCGTTATTTTCTGTAATGGCACCTGCTCGAAATTCATTTATTTGATATTTTAAGCAAATCCAGTTTTCTGTTAATTTATTTTACGCTTAAAATAAAATTCGTGGCCGGACGCTATAAGAATTGGCTGATTTTTAGATGAAACTGTGAATTCGAAAGAAGACTCAATCATAATTTGCTTTTTCTGTTAGCGTTTGCTAATCATCTGAGTACAGTATAAAGTGGCAGTCAGAATTTTTTAATTTTCAGAAATTGTACGTCAAACTGTTATGACTTAGCACAATCAGGTTTTTTAGTGATCATAATGGTTTAGCGAAAAATCTAATTGAAAATAAATTACCAACTTGTCGATAAGAGTGTTAAGTGATATAGGAAGCCTCATTCTAGCATGTATATTCAAGATAAACCAAGGTTTATTTATGCTGGGTGCGTTAATTGCAGGATTCACTTTGGTGTGATAAGAGTTAAGATAGGGACCTCAAACGGAATTAATTTTAATAGTGAAATGACTAGGTGTTGAAATGTACGGTGTTAGACTGGAAAATAGGAGTTAAATTGTTGTGGATTTAAATTGTTTAGTAGTGAAATGACTAGGTGTTAAATTATAGGGTGTTAAATTTTACGGTATTAAATTGTAGGACACCATTGAGACATATGAAAGTTTATATGACCTGCTTTTCAAAAGTTTTCGTTTTCGGATGTTAGTTTTGTATCGCAAGTGGTGTGAAATTTTGTGTCGGTAGGCTACCTAGGATACATTTTGTCCAATTCATGACACACCTGGTAGGGAGAATAGTAAGATAATGAAATAGTATAACTTGGGATTGGGAACTGTGGGTAGACTTTTTGATTTTGGAGAAGTTGATTTATATTTGATCATAACAGTCGACACAGTTAAAACGAGGGTGATGGGATTCGTTGTTATTGTTTTTGTTTTGAATTTTCATTTGTTTCGATTTAATATCAAATGGGGCATTCAAGAATAACTTGCATGCTGGTTTTGTCAAAACCAATTTATATATTATTCCGAATGCTGTTCACGTTTTGATAAAATCTGTAAATTTCAATATGTTCTACAGTTTTGTCTGATTCCTACATAAATATTTTTATAAACAAATAATTGTCATTGCAATTGTTACCTCCTTCGACCAGGCTTTGAGATTGTTGGGTAGTGTGTTGAATCATCAAAGTTTCACCACAAACGCAAGTGTTTGGAGCGTACTCACCCACCCTTCAAATATAAATATGTCGGCAAAAAGTTGTTAGAAATTACTAGGGTAAAAATGAAGCTATGTTTTGAAGGTGGTCATGAATAGTTTAGCGAATGGCACAGTTCGCTTTGAAGACAGTGTGCGCAATGATGGTACATTTGCAGATGAGAGTCGTCTGATATCTTTAGCGCCAGTTGATCCATTCTTCCCCTCAAACGTCTCTCTAAATTCGGCTCAGGAGCACGCTATTAATGACCACACTCTGATAAACTCATCCTCGCCCCTCATCCACGATGGAAGTGAGCTGAACAAGACAAATGTCATTAAAGCTATTATGGAGCAGAACAGGTTAGCTTCTCTTTCTGCCTAAATCGTACGTTCGTTGTTCTTTACACTTGTGATCAGCTTAGTGTGTTATTACGCACCTTCTTTTTTTCTCAGCTAACTTGCTAGGAAAGTGTTAATTAAAGAGTTCAATTGTTAATTAAGCTACCGTGGCTGATTTTATAGTGTGTGAATCTATTAATGTCTAGGTCGCTGGTTCGAATCTCAGAGGTTGACGAATTTTTTTTTACTAAATCGAGGTTTATTTCTATTTTTTATTAGCTCTTTAAAGAGCTGCTTTTTGTTCTCGCAGGTGTCAATAATACTGGGCGACATATGTAAAAAAAAGTTCACCTGGCTTTGGGGCTACCTGATTTTTTTTTGCTATGTTTCAAGATATCGAAATGATAAATGTCACAAAAAATTCCGACCAATTTTAGTTTTCCATTTTGGCTAATATTGCAGTATTGATAAGGAATTGCTTATTTTTTATCAGTGGATTCGGTTTTGAGACTGAAGGAAAACACTGGATTGCTTTTGCGTTCAATTCTCAAATTGTCCGCAATGGGCTACAATCATAAGTAGCATTTTAAAATTGTGGTGTATCCAAAAAAGAGAAGATTGTTTTGAGTTCAACAGGATCCTAACGGAGAGAGTGAATGATATCCACCACTGGAGAAGTCAGACGTCTCTTGGCTCGATGGGAAATAATGTCTCCTATAAGCGTGGAATGGGCGACTGCTGTTACTCATGTGCAGAAAAAGAAAACAAAATCCAAGATCTCTCCAAAACATTAGGAAAGGTAGTTTGAAATTCTTTTAGACGCTTTGATATTTTCATGAATTTCTAACTAGATTTCAGTAACGGTTAGTGGTATGGCTTTTAACAAAGTGAAAACAAGTATATGAATACTTTTTGATAACTTGGCTAAAAGTTCTATCATTGTCGTTGGGTATTACACCATCTTCTGGTGTTCCACGATGAGTTTTTGTCCCGTTTTGTTTCTAATCCCATTTTGTCCCGTTTTGTTTTTTTTGTCCGCATTTGTTTTAGTCTCTATTCATTCAGAAAATGAAGATTTTGACCAGTATCTAGTTAATTCTTGCATTAGGACTAAATGGGTCATTATTTCACAGTAAATCACTGTAGTAAATGTGGAATGTGCCGGTAAAATTTAAAGCATGCACAAACCTGAATATTCTTTGAAAAATTTTTCGACTTTTTGGCTTTTACTGAATGTGTATTGTTTGTCTTGAAACGTCAAAAATGAAAATTTTGTTCAGAATTGGATTACGCGTGCCATTAGCAAGCTTAATCAAATCGGAGTAAAGATTTTTTTTGGTTGATTGATAACATCTAGCTAAACAGAAATATTGAATCAATTGGTATCGTGGCTCATTGTGAAGTAAAATTTTTTAGCGTCTCAGGCACCTTTGGTGTGGAAGCACTGAACGCGCCTGGAAAGGTAAATATCCTGGTTTCGAATCTGACAGGACCTAATATTGTTTTCAAACGGGAAATATTCTGTTTCAAAAAAATTCTCGGTTTATTATTTGTCGTTTTATGTTTTGTCGGCCTATTTGAAACATCTTGGAATTGTTTTTTTTTAATTTTTGCAATTTTTTTTGTATATGATCTTAGTGCTTGGATTCGTTCCTGCAATTGTAATTTTACTAGTCTTGGCTTCGTATGTTGTCCGTTTTTTATTTCGCCAATTTTTTTTTCTCTTATAAATTTTTTTGCTCCCCTCCGGATCGAGCAAATTGCCAAAAATCAAAGTTTTTCTTGAAAACATTTTTGTTTTCGGTTATACGGGAATTTATCGACATTTTTTCGGCTCAAATGGCGCTCGAGAGTAGTTTTTGAATTTTCATTATACGCCGTCGTTTGTTTCTGGACGTGTGTTGCGCAAATAGAACAACATTTGATGTTTTTAGTTGGTTTTTTTTCAAAATTTATGCAGGTTTTTTGTTCTTATTGACTCCTTTCCTTTCCTGTATGTTTGCTTGCCACGCAATTTTAATGTGGTTTTGAAAGTGGTGCAAAGCTCCGCTTTGCCTCTGTGAAATAGATTCAGTTTTTTGAAAAGCAGTCATATATTCGCGATTTACAACTACGATTTACTACAAGCTATTCATATTTTGTTACCTAAACTGTCAATCTTTTCCATAGGCTTTTAATTACACAAGCCTGTCGAAATGTGACACGTCATTGCTCGTTTTTTTCCAACCCAAGTCGGTAATAATAGTGCTACTTGCGTTGGAGGGAACTTTTCAAGCATTGGTAGTAAGTATAATTGTCTGTTCTTTTTCTTTCGATTAGTAATAAGTTAAAATAGTTGATGCCTTTCTAATTCATCAATTGAACCGAAGTTCAATCATTATATTTCAGTTTCAGAAGTTTTCGATCTCATTTATTGCGAGTTTTAAAGACTTATGAACGTAGTGAAGACTCTTTTATAGGTCTTGCTGATTTTTTTGTTTTTTTTTTGGGAAAAAGTTTTTAAATATTGATTCACTTTGGTGTAATGCAGTTTTTGAGTTCAATGGAAATTCATCTGCTGAAAGCTACATGAATGGCTTTCTCCAATTGCGAACGTGAAAATGGCGCTAAAAACGTGATTGATTTCTAGTTTCGAAAGTGGAATTTATTTTTAAGATTTCCCAACGGAATAAAAACTCTACCTATTGATCTAGTTTTTTCATGTTCGGTTCATGTTATGAAAAAAGCGCCAATCTAAAATTGTTTTAGAAATTCAAAGTGTTTAAAGGGCATCTATTTTTTGTTCTTTGAAAGTCAGTGTTTTTTATGTTTACTTGCGTTCAATACTCTTTTCCAATATTCGATTGGCTATGTTTTAAAAGTAGCAGAGCAATCATAAAACTCAGTTACAGAATTTTTCAAGTCAATATTTTTAAATAAGTTATACACATTTCGCTTCTCAATTTTCCGATTTTTTCATGAAAAAGTTAGTGCAGTTGCCTTCGTTTAGATTTGAGGGCCATTTTTGTTAGCATCTGTAGCTGTTTTTTTTAGTGACGAGTGTTTGCTAATTTTTAAGGAGTCGTGTCGATAATGCGTGAACATGGGACTCCAAATCGAAGTCAGAGGTTCAAATCCGACACAGTAAAAGTTATATTGTTCAAGGCATATTTTTACCTGTTCTTTTTTCACTTTTTAGAGCTGCTTCCTACCGTTTTGTTACTTGTTTGCGAATGCAATTTCGTTTTTGTGCATGGAAGTTAGGCATGTGAATTTAAAAAAAACTTTTGATGAGATGAATGAAAAAATTTAATCGATTTTTGCAAAAGCAAAATAATGCTACGTTATTCCGGTTGGGATTTAATTTAAAAAAAACTGGACATTTCTTATGATTTGTGCTTGGTTATTTTAAGTACTCAGTTTGTGCCTAGCTACAATGATACTCGCAAAAGCAAGCCTCGGTAGAGTTTGCGCTTGCGATTAGCAAGCGACATCAAATCGGAATACACTTTTCGGGTTAACAACTAGTTGAACAGAATCAATTGAAAATTCAAATTTAACTACTGGGCAGGTACTAGTTCCTTCTGGTATATGCTTTATTTAGAATTTTAAAGTATTTATAATTATAGAGTTTCGATAATAATTTTCTGCTTATGATCTTTCGGCTTCGTGGTTGTCGATTTAATCTCTGTCGGTTTAGTTTCTGAATTCTACTTTGCACACGCTATTAATATAGCGATGGTTGATTTTATGTGGGCTTATATAGGATTTTTTTTTCAATGTGATTTTTGAGGAACATTTTTGGCTGAGTTTTGGTCTTGTTTACCGATTTTTTTGCTTAAATGTCCGGTAGTATGTTTGATATCGATAAGACTGTGTCATCCATTTTAAAGACCTTAGTCAGCCGCACTAGGACCTCTTGGAAAAACTTCAATATATTTTAATTCAAAAATATACATATATTAGTTTTCTTTTTTCCTGCGTTAATTGTAGCCTTGTTCCGTGGTGCGATTATTGAAAGTGGTGCGATTTTTTTCAAAGAGCTCAGCCATTTACTTTTTTCGGCGTATGAAGCTACTGTTGTAATTTTAGTCCGTTAAGCGTTGATGTACCAAGCATGATTGGGACGACAAAAGTTTTAATTTTTCTCGGCAAAGTTTCCACAGTATGGATTTTTCTTCCGATTTAAGCATTTTGTTTTGACTTAGATGCTTACATTTTTGTATTGATAGTCATTTTGATTATTCAAAAAGTTTTTGCCATTTTTTAAATAGAATTTTTTTCACGATTTAAGAATTCGATTCGTTTTTTTTTGCTTTTCATTTTGCCGTTAGGCACAGGAAAGCAATTAATGGAACCTTATGACATTTTTAAAGTGTTGAAAACCAATCCGATTTTTCCTCTTATGCACAAATGATTACATCGCCTGTGGTTTGGGTTTGTCAAATGAATGATGCGGTTTTTCAAATAATCATTGGTTTTTTTTAAATATCATTTCACCTAGCATCTATTTTTGTATCGCAAGTAGTGCGAAGCTACGCTTTGTCGCTGTTGAAGTTGAAGCTCATGGAAATTAGGCTCTCAAACTGTTTCAGAATCCAAAAACCGAAAAACTTTTTCTTCGAAATCTCTATTTGTTTCCACCAGTATCGTGGGAAGGAGTGTTTTTGCAGTAAGTAATTTTGCCTCGGGCAATTTTTGTAGTGGTTTACTAGGAGTCTCTACGGTTTCTGGGACCAAGGCACCCGCTATACAAATTTAAGTTGAACCGCAATTATCGTAGGCTAATTTGTAAATGCCGAAGTGTTAAAAGTGAAAACAACAAATAGTCAGTGAAGTTGGTGAACGTGCTGTTGTTTTGTTTAGACTGAATGTGAAATGCAAGAGTTGCACCAGTTCATATCTCAGATGAAACAAGACACAACGGTGGAGAGACACAAGAGTCATCAAACTGTAGAAGAGCTGAGATCGTTGCTGCTCTCACTCGAATCACAAGTGCAGGAATTGAGCGAAAAGAACCGTAGTCTGTTGAAGGAAGGAGAGAAATTTAAAGCTTACAAAGCGACTTTGCCAACGAAAGCCGACCACACGAAACTGAAGCACGAGCTAGATGTCGAAAAGGACAAAAAGGAAAGACTCAAGGAAAAACTAATTTCAACCAATAAGCAGCTTGTGAGCTCTCGTGCGGTAGAAAAGGCTAATCAAGTTCTCTTGGCCGAAAGAAGCAAAGAAATCGAAGACTTGAGAGCGGAGTTGGCCAAAAATGTTGAAAATGTGCGTATTTTGGAAAACTTCTGTCGGGCTGACGCCAACAACAGTTTCTACGACGAAAACTCAGAATTGCCCCACGTTGTTATTGCAAATTTGAAGCGGGAAGTATCCGAGTTGACGGCCGAATTGACTAAGTATAAAAAGTTAGGAAAAACGCAAAGAGCAGCCTTAAAAGCTGAAAACACGAGACATGAAAAGGAAACTGCAGAATTGAAGACAGAGATGAATACTGCAAATGAACAAATAGAGCAGTTAATTGCTCAGCTTAAAGAATTAAAATTAGAGTACAAACTATTGAAAACTAGTTTCGAGGAAGTAACACAAGATAATGTTTTTCTAAAACAAGAAAACGAGAATCTGGTATCAGAAAACCAAGAGCTGAAGAGTCTAGAACTTTCTGAAAAGTATAAAACGAACAAAGTGGTGGCAAAACAGCTTGAAAATTGTCATAGACAAATGCGGGAAATTTTTTCAATTTTAGACAAATTTAAATCCAATAGCGACGTTGACCTTTCTTTCATAATCGGAGCAGCCGAGCACCATTTTGAGAATGAAGCAGTTAAATCGACAGTACCTATTGGCGAACGTGTGAACGAGTTACAAAGGGACCTGAAGATTTTCAGGGAGGAAATAAATGACAAGGCAGCCTCGGTTGTTGGGTCTGACTGCCAGATTCAGTGAAACTGTCCAAAACTGTTTGATTGAATTTGAGTTTATTTTTGGATGAGTGCAGCTGAAAGCAAAAGAGTGATCAAATTTATTAGTTTGCAATTATTAGAAAGGCAATCTTGTCAGAGCTCGTTTTTGATCGCATTGATCACAACTCAAATGATTTAGAGCGATTGATAGGCAATGGAATTCTGTTCAGCATCACTTTTCTAGAGTTTGAATAAACTGTTTGGTTTTCACACCAGGTAGACCGCTCGCTCTTGTCTTGTTCCTTACTTAATCTGTTCTTGTTTACCGATTCAAAGGTTATCTGACTGATGTTAAGAAGCCCTACAGCTTTCCATGTAATGATGCTTGTACGGACTTAGTGCCTCGTTAAAACTTGGTAAGTTATAGATGTTCTGTAGCTAGTTGATATTTTGCTAATGGTGATAAATGTTCTAATTATTCATATTGTCTTCCCGAATTTAATTGATTCAAGTTTTCGATACAGTCTTAGTCAGGGGCGGATCTAGGATTTTCTCGAGGGGGGGGCGGATTTTCAAAAAAATTTCAAAAATTTTGACGATCTTTTTTTTGGTCGACCAAATTGATTTATTCGAGCTCTCCTAAAGCACTGTTTTCCCCCAATTTTTTGAAAAAAAAAACAGTAAATAAAAAACGTTTTTGGGCACTTTTTGAAAAAATTTATATACATGTTTTTTTTTGGCGCGCGCTCACCCTCAAAGATAGTATATATTGGCGCCTTTAGAAAAATTTTAGGGCGGTCCGCCAAAAATGGATTTCTTAAAAAGTATCAAAGGGGGACCCTTTGGGTCGGCAGGGGGTCGAATCCCTGAGGGGGGGGGGCGGACGCCCCCCCCTCCTAAATCCGCCCCTGGTCTTAGTACTAAAGGTTTTTAAACGTTTATGCTAATTTTGACCAGATGCGCTTGTATGCAAATGCAACTGCTTTGTTTTAACGCATTGTTTTGAAGACTTTCATGATGTTATCATATTGAGATTCAGAGTTTTTAAATTGAGATTCAATCACCAGAGACATAATTACAAAAGAAGAGATTACAAGCCTCGTCAGCAGTCATGAAGAATTCAATTTTGATGTCTATGAAAACCTTCGAAGTGAATCATTGGATTTACTTACAGGCAGATTCACTGAATTTAAACCATAAGGTTTATTGAATTGAGTTCTTAAGCTACGGATCTCTTTAACTATCCCCCCTAGGGTACCTAGTAACTAATTTCCATCCCCTATAAAGAAATAATTCAATGGCTTAGCACAGGTAAATTTCGTAGCTAGAAACGAATCCACCCCTTGCATATAGGGGTGGGGGTAGTTAGAGATCAACAGCTAAAAGTTACTTCAGACAAGCTTCGAAAAATTCAGCGACCATAATGAATAACGAAGTTTGAAGGGCACCGCCCTGTACCAGGATGCATGCATGTGCTTCGATGTTAAGCTAACTAAACCAATGGTACGGACTTCGAAAAAGATGAGATGCTATAAAAATTAATTTGCCAAACGCGCTACAGCCAATGCTAAGAGTATTAGCACAGACTATGATTTTACCAATATCACTATACCTTGAATGTATCATGGATCTGTAGCGCAAAGGCAGGGAAGGAGACCTGCAACAAAATAAGAGGGTTCAAACCTGGGTAGGGTCTTATGCTTTTGATGAACTTTTTCGTATACAAGTTAAAATGCGTCCGCTCCATAAATTGAGGCATGCTGGTTGGTTAATTTTTTTGAAGTTGACTGCTATGCGTCATAATTGGCTTGCGTCACTTAGCAATTATTTAGACTCATAATTGGCGGGCGTCACTTAAAAAATTTTGTAGACTCAAAGTTTTACTCATTCAGTTTTTCCCAGTAGCGTTATCAACTATATTTTTGCTTGTATATGCGAAGTGCAACTTCGTTTCTGTGTTTACAGTTAAAACAGATTTCAACGTGCGAAGCTAAGTATAAAAAAAGGTAAAATCAGGATGATTTTGAGTCGAAAACGTCTGGAATAAAGTGTACATACACCGATGCACGGAAAACATTGATAGTTCAGAGCGTGACAACGATCCTTGTTGATAAGTATCAATCAGGCAAAATTCTCTCTTAAAAAGGTCCAATTGAAGTTTTCTGGTTATGCAATCTCTTATCGAAACTCTTTAAACTAGCGTCAGCTTAGTGTATTATTACGAACCTTCTTTTTTTAAACCTAAGTCGCAATATTGGTGCCACTGTTGAAGCGCCCTTACAGCTTTTTGATAGCATGTGCTGTGACATTCGAATAGAAATAAGTTAACACAGTTAATGCATTTTTAGTTCATTCAAGGAACTTTGAAAAGCTATTTGTTTCAAATAGCAGCATAAATAAAAACTCAGTTTCAGATAATTTCTAACGTAATATATCTTGCATATTTTTGAAATGCATAATATATACATAATTTAGCTTCATGCTTTCCGATTGTTTAAATGCAAAGTTAGTGTGGATGACTTTAGTTTGTTATAATTAAAATTATTATTTGCAAAATTGTGTCTATTTAGATTTGGTGCCACTTTTGCTGAATGGCATTAGCAATTTATTAGCATATGTTGCTGCCTCGTTCGTGAAAAGTATTTGTCGGCGGTTAAGTGTGCGTGGCTTAGTGGTTAGTGCGTGAGACTCAAAATTTCTAGATTGCAGTTGGTCGCAGATCGAATCCTAGACCTAGCCGAATTTTATCAATTCGAGCCTTAGTTCTATTTTTCCTATTGCGCTTTCTAGAGCTGCTTTTTTGTCGTGTTTTCGCCTCGCCTCTGTTTTGATTTATAAAACAATCAGTGAATAATATAAAAACACTTTATGGCGTGTGGTAAGTTTTAGTTTTTTTTCTTTCCATAGGTTAAAGAGAAATCATCTCACAGACAATCAGCAGTTTAAGACTCACTATTTCAGTTGTTTTCAGGAAGATGATATAAAATTTAAACAAAGGATTGCTACTTTTCGTATATGGCTAGAAATCAAGCTTCTACTTAGATAAACTCCGTGGTTGCGAATCATTGCCCTGTGTTTTGGTTTAATATTTCACAGATTTTATCACAAAAGCACAAAATATTTTTTTAACTTTTCACAAAATACGCATTGTGATGTTTCCCCTTGCGATAAGCAAGGGTATTGCAATCGGGTGTTAAACTTTTTTCTTAAAAACTTTGTTTTCTGGACTCATTTTCTGGAAGCCTCTGCTTTTTATAAATCTGAATTTTTTTGATTTTTTCAGCCTTTGTTTTTTTTCAGCGTGGTTTGTTTTAAATTTGTTCCAAATTTTGACCTGATGATAATTTCACACTCTATTGTCTTGGTATTCTTTTTATTCAAAACTATCCTTATTCATTTTGACAGATCTAGTTTTTTCAACGTTTTTGATTGAAAGTGTTCCTCTTTTTTCGGTAATGCAAATGGTGCGAAGCTTAGCTTCGCCTCAATTTTTATTTTGACTCATTGGTTGTATTTAACTGGAATAATATGAAAATTGTCGAAGATCTATATTATTCCGACAGCGGTTTTAGTTTCATTTTATACAACATTTTTCATGCTATATGTTTAATGTATCGCGAGTGGTGCGAAGCTTTGTTTCGACTCTGTTTTGTTTTTTATGTAAAACATTGTATTTGCAGTGCTTTTTATATTGATTGTTACAATTTCCATATATGGTCATACACTTTCACTACGGAAGAATGCTAGTCGTACAATTCCATTTGATGATCATAAAAATATGGAAGAAAGCTTTTCATATGTTCCCATATATGAAAGTTGTATGACCAATGTTTATTCATACACAAACAGTATGAAATATTTATTAACCCGTGTTTTTAGTACCAAGTTTAATTAGCCTAATTGTTGTGATAAACTTATTAAATAGTTTCAGAGTGATGAAACACTAGTTGCCATTCTTTGGGCACTGACTACTAACTTCAGAATATTATCCTTGACACCAACAGCACCATTATTCCTGGCATTTTCCTGGCTTCACACAATGTCAACACCAATGCTTCTGATGCTGCCCGATGACTTCACGAAACTCAATCCCGAACAAAAAGATAAGTACTACGTTCAAATATATAACCTTGTCAATGTACTAGCAACATCCAGTAATCCTCCAAACAGTAATCAAAACGCAAAAGGACTCAGAGCACCTATTGATTTTGCTGCCAACGTAATCCCCAATGATACTCAAAACTTGATTATTGGTTCGAGTTTTTCAGCGGAGTTTGACACGAAGGAGCTGCCCAAAGACGTGGCCGTTCATTCTTACCGCGGGTCATTTTGCAGCGAGAAACAATCAGTTGCGAAAAAGTACGACGATACTGAGCTGAAATCAGTAACCTTCCAGGACGGCACCAATTCCCTCACAAGGGAACTACACAAACCTGTAGATGATATATTTGAAACTTTTTGCGCCACCATTAGTGAAATTGAGACAAAGTTTTCACCTGCAATAATCAATATATGCCAAGTCACGCCTGTGAAATCGGGACCCGATTAGGTAAGTGGGAAACGTATAACTGAATTCAACAGCCTTATTGCTCATAAATTTACGAAAAAAGTATCAAATTGTTCCTATATACGATAAAATTGTCAGCATAAACGACTATCAGTCAATCTTCTTCGATGAAGTACATTTGACGCAATCATGGAAAAGGTACTTTAAAAATGCAATCATGGAAAAGGTGCTACCATTATCCAGCTTATCACCTCGAGTTGTTTCTCCGAATACTTCCAACTCTAGGGGCCCAGCGCACCCTCAGAGGAATCGTATGAAACCTGGTTCAAGCCAAGTCTCTTGGGGCCCCGAGCACCCAAAGAGTCTTGCGAGCCATGGTTTCAGCAATAATCAAACCTACAATTATATGAATACCAATCGTAGTAATTATGACTTACGCCATAATAGATACTATCCATACTAATGTTGTTTTAGTAGTCTATTACCCAATGATCTGGATCTATCAAATTTATGTTTAGCCAATGGCTTTTAAAGACTCTCCTTATTTTCTCCCTTTTAACTAGCATTCCCATTAATTACAATGTACCCAACAGCACCGCACTACTCAAAACTAGAAACATGACGTCTAACCGCCACTTTAGATTGGAATGTTGAAAATCCTGCTTCTTCAATGTGGGGACATCGAAGTCAATCCAGGTCCCGCACTTTCATATGAAATCCTGGCAAACAAAGCAAAGGAACACCACAACTTCCTCAAATATATAACTCTAAATTGTAGAAGCAGAAAGAACAAACACATGGAAATACGTTTCTTGTCAGAAATAGTTGACTCAAACACAATTATCGGTCTTACGGAAACCTGGCTTGACGAAACATGCGATCATAAAACTTATTCATTCTGCAAAACAACCCATGAAATTTTAAGATGCGACCGTAACAAAAAATGCACTGGTCAACACGCAGGTGGTGGTACTCTTCTTCCTATTCCGAAAAAATTCAACCTTAAGATTCGAGAAGATTTAAATTACCTACGTCCCTCCCATTTTGAAGGACTTTGGGTGGAATATAGCCCAATCATCTCAAAAAAATCAAAAAGACAGATAATTGCTTTTGCCTACAATCCACACAAACAATTCAAGGAAATTTTTATAGAAGATACACTAAAGGGTATCGATTACGCTGCCTCTGAAGCGCGAGATGTTACGATTTTGGGTGATTTCAATATTAACTACTTGAATAAACATGAAGCTAATTTTCTCAGCGATTCTATTAAACCATACAATTGGTCAATAACCAATAAGTCGATACCGACATACAACTCTAAAAACAGCTAATCCATTTTAGATAACATTATAGCATCCAAATCTCTTTGTAAAGAAACTATTGTAGCAGAACCACCTATAAACACGGACCATTTAATAACAATGTGTATTAGCAAACTAAAACGATTCGAAAAAGCCATTCCAATTCGAACTTTTCGCTTCAACAAAACCAATTATTGTAAAAATAGGTTCTGCGAGGAACTTAAACAGAGTCCATGGTTTCTCGTCTACCAAGAAAACGATGTCTCTAAAATATTAATAAAATTTGAAGATATTTTCTCGCATGCCCTAAACGCTCACGCACCACTAGAGCAGAAGTATATGCGAAATAAACAGCAGCTACAGCTGTATGGTAAAGTACTTAACTCAGTCAATAGACCTTCAAAACAGGAAAAAGAAAATCTTCTAAAGGCATATCAATTATCGAGAACAGATGCCAATTTTGAAAACTATAAACGAATAAGAAATAAATACAACAATCATCTAAAACATTAATACAAGAAAGAGAAAACAGCCCAATTCAAAATGCTTGACTGTCCAAAAAAACAATGGAATTTCATAAACTCTATCAGGAACACCATGAAACAGTCAACGCAAATAGGTGATCTACGGAATTCGTTTGCCGACACTATAATTGAAAATAAGAAGAAAGCAAATTTCCTTAACTACAGGTTCTCAACATTAGGAGAATACAAAAACGCAGATCCTCCCATAGATGTACCAACTGAGTACAGTGTACACAGCAAAACAAATAGGCACTTTCAATTCAGGTTCATAACTCACAAAAGAAATGAAAGATGCAATTTTATTACTTCCCTTAAACAAGCCATTAGGACCAAGCAAAATCCCTGCTTGGGTTCTAAAAGACAGCATTAATACTGTAAACCCAATTCTTACGATGATTATCAATGAATGCATCTCGAAATCCGTACTCCCATATACCTTAAAAAAGGTACACGTTTTTCCCATATTCAAAAAAAGCGACTCGACAGATCCACTAAATTATCGTCCAATTTCTAATACACCCACTCTATCGAAGTTGTTTGAAAAAATTGTTTCATCCAAAATTCACGAATTCTTAGCAAATTCCAATATCCTAAAACCAAAAAAAATTTGGCTTTCGTCCAGGTTATTCAACTAATGATGCTCTTTTATACACAACAGAAAAAATCAGATTCCATATCGATAAAAATAACATAGCAGCGGCTCCATTTCTTGATTTATCTAAAGCATTTGATTCACTCTCTCATTCAGTCCTTGAAAGGAAACTAAGTCACATTGGCTTTGAACAGTCAGCAACAACTCTTATTAAGTCATTTCTAGAAAACAGACAGCAATTGACAATAGTAAACGGCGAACACTCAGATTGGCTTAAATTAGAGCAAGGTGTTCCCCAAGGTACTGTACTAGGACCACTGCTGTTCAACTTGTATGTAAATGACTTGCCACAAACAATTGACAAATCATGTACGTTAGTACAATATGCCGACGACACGACTCTGCTTAGTTTTATTCAGATCCCGAAACAGCAACAAAGAGCCTTGAAAACAATTTCAATAAAATTCTCTTATATTTTCACTCAAATCGATTAATAATTAATGTAGACAAAACCAAGTTTATTGTATTTTCTGCACCGTCGAAAAAGAAACTAACTGAAAATCTTTCATTGAAAGTTGGAAACTATCAAGTTAATTTAACAGAGACAGGTAAATTTCTCGGCGTCAATATTGACATAAGCTTAACATTCGACAAAGAAATCAACAAAATTTTACAAAAAATGGCTACAGCAATCCAAACGATAAAATGCATCCGAGACAAAATCCCTCTGCGTGCTAGAATTCTCCTGTTAAATACTCTTGTACTGAGCCATTTGCACTATCCATGCATGCTCTTAAATGGATGTACGCAAGATAATATTGAGAAACTCGAAAAAGAAATAAAATGGGGAATCAGGATAATAATGAATATAAGCAAACGAGATTTCGTTACACTTCTAAGGAAACAGCACAAAATTCCTACTGCTCGGAATATAATCGAGTACCGATCAGCACACTACCTTCACAGGTTATGCCGAAACGATGCCCCAGCTTTCACGCATATAAGATTCCCAAATTCTGAATTCCGCTATAACCATCGAACTGGGACATGACTGTTCCCTTTAACATGTAAAACTGATTTCTTTCGTAAGTCTTTCTTATTTACATCAATCAGAAACCTTAACACAAGAATCCGAACCTTGTTTAATCGAAAACTACCGTACACATTGACAAAAACTCTGATAAAAAATTTCATCATAAGAAAAGATGACACCCTGTTACCCAATAAGGAGAGTCTTTTCGCATCCAAGGACATTTATTTTGTTAAATCAATTATTTGATTCGTCCTCGTAGTAATTTATGTTTTTTCTTGTTATGTTATATAACCATTGCGTAATATTGTACACTAGATTCTTATACAATCAGTTCTGCAACTGCATAAGTATATTGAAACAATAAAGTGTCCCCTCTCTCTCTCTCATTCAGCTCAAAAATTTTGAACAAAGTTGTTGATTTTTCGACGAAGTTGGATCCAGTCCATGTTTTGACCAAATTGGATGTTGTTAATCAAAAGTTAAAAAAATATCTTCACGTATTTTTTGAGGCTGCTTGACCAGGCTAAAAGCATAACAATGCAGATAATTGGTTTCTTCTACTAATGTTCCAAACAGTCGTGATTTTTTGCTTGAAATTTGCCGGAAAAAAATCAATTTAACAACGTAAATTAATTTATTATTTTCTTCTTCGGGAGTTCTTATCTCTTTAAAAGCTTCAAAAATCAGCAAAACATTGGAAAGTGTTCTACATTTTGTTGCATTTTCAAGCGAATATATTTTCAAGTAGACTTGCGTTTTTTTTCGACTCAATTTGATTTTGGTTCGATTCGAAGTTTGACCCGGAGCCGGCCTGACTGACTGTTTTTTTCGAGCTATGACATCTGGTTTGACCACCCCAGTATTCTCGGAGTTCATATCGTGCATGATATTCTGCAAAAGTTATTTATTTTTGCTTTTGTGCATAATTCTTTCAACATTTGCTTTCGTTTGCAAAAAAAAATAAGCAAGATTTTGTTTTTTACAAAAAGTTATTTGCAAAACGTTTCTGATGTTTTTGGTGTTTTCATTATATAGATTTTAAATATTCATCATTTGAAAAATTCAAAAACGTAGTTGAGAGTTTTATTTGGAATAAATTAAATGTTTAGGTAATCAAATTCTTTAAACGTTTATCAGTCCTGATATGAAAATTTTTGGCAAAAAGTTATAAAATTTTGTAATTTCAAACGTTTTTGCGAAATGTTTATTATAAATCTTGAGTGAACTTTCTACGTGGTTAAGGAAATGCATATTTTTGCAAGATAACGATTCCTTTGAAAGGCTCTTGCAAGATTTCCGAGTCCAAAATTTTGCATAAAAATTTCGTTAAAAAGAGGCTGCTGCAGTCCAATATTTTCAGTTTGATTAGTCCTCTATCACGATAGAATGGACCAAATGGCGCTCAAAATTTGAAAAATTTGGCTCATTCATCCCTCTTTGCCAAATCAGGGACCAAAAATTGGAATGCTTTTGCTCTTTTGCACCAAAAAAATACTTTACCGAGAGGCTCGTATCGGCTCACTGAGTACCCAAGACCTCTGTGAGTTACTGTTTGTTTCGGCCTATTTAAACTAAAATTAGGAAACAAAATGAGTGCAATTAGCTAAAAACTGGGCTCATTCAGCTCCTTTTGCTGATAGTTGGGCTCAATCAGCTCACTTTGTTAAAAATTGAGCTCATCCAGCCAGTTTTTGAAGAATTAGGCTGATTCAATCCGATGTTGAAAGAACAAGGACCCAAATTTCGGCCTAATTGACTAAAAGTTGGGTTCATTCAGCTCATCTTACTTAAAATTGGGCGCAATCAGCTCTTTACTGGGACATTTGGAACACAACATAGCTACTTTTGTTTGTAATTGGACTGATTTAGCCCATTTTGATGAAAATTGGACTCAACGTCCTCCATAGAAAAACGGGATCAAAATAAGGATTAATTTCGACCCGGGTTGCATCCCAAGTACGCTAGGGCACTTCGTTCAAAAGAAGAGTCTTCGACTTCTCGCAGCGCACGTTTCCTAGCATGATCACTCGTTTCCCAACTTATCCTGTTTTGCTGATATTTTAGAGTTCTTAGGATTGCTTTTGTCGCTGGTCTTTACTAAATGCAGTCTCGCCAAGTGTATTTTCTATCCCACATTTGGCCATTCTTGAGTTTGGGCCTCTCAAATACATCCTGCATGCTCTACAGACTGAAACTGTCAACTGAAAAAAAAAACAGAGCTGAGAATTGTGTAATGTACGAAAATTATATGGTCATAGAACAATCTGCCAGCCCTACAGCTGGTCTTATGACATCTAAGAGGAGAATATAACGAAACTACTTGATAGGAATTGTGACTCAACAACTAATTATTTCAGCACACGTTGAGAAGCGGGCTAGCTAATCACAAAAATCAAGTTTCACTGATAACTGTTTCTGATAGCGTTGTGATCAGTCCGAAAGGAATTCGGTGTCGAAAATCTGACTGTCGTCCCCGTGACCTGCACTGTTAGTGTGTCCTGGTCTGCCCTCTGGGAACCCTGTCATGCCGTCCACTCTCTCGTACAGGCCACATAGGATCAGATTGTAGGCCACCAGTGCCCCCTGACACACGTTGTCTGTGAGGAAGGACCGGCTGAACAGGTATTGGTGGAACTCATCTGTAATCATAACACGCAGCCGAGTTGAATAGTAACAACTGAGATGATCAGTCGACAAACACAGAACTTTAAGTACTCTCTATTAAATGTTGGTAAAAAGTTTTGCCTGTTTTTAAATCATGTACGCCCCTAACCAAGTGTAGCTCGAAAAGCACCAATTCTGACCAAAAGAAAACCGATGTCTGCAACAAGTGGTTTTCATGATACCTGATCTCTTTTTTTTTTCATCGTAGATGTTATCCGACAAATACTTTTAGAGTATTTTCAATTTCAATCATAGGTGATCTTAGCAAAGGAGTTCTTTTAAGCCAAAATCTAACCGGGAGTCCGAAATTGTATGTTCGAATATCATGGTGGAACAGTGAGAACATTCTAACCAATAATAAATGCTGGCTTTTTTAATTATTAAATTGTCTCCTTGGGCTCAGAGCAGATAATCGACCAGCTTAAGCGTTTCAAGACAACTTCGAAAATCGATTTTTTACGCGTTTAAAAAGTTAAGTCCGCCCTCTATTCATGGGCTTCTCGGGAGGGACGGGGCGTTACTACGATTTTAAAAAATTCATTGTCTGGCTTGCCTCTATTTTTCACAAAAGTAAGTTTCAGTTTCCTCTCTTCTACCACGCGCTGCAGCTCCATGCACGTCTTGCAGTACATGAGCATCTCCACATTCGGTCCCAGCACCAGTATCTCCGGCATGCGCATTAACTCATTCACATTGTTCGACCCATCCAGCTGTCTCTTTAAAACGGAAACAAACAAGAAAACATAATGGATTCTGTACTTGCAGACTGGCATTTAACTGAACATGACTCAAACTAGTGTCAGGTTTGATGGAGCGGGGTGTAACTCTACAATTTTACCCCTTCCCCCTCTCCTGGTTGGAATTAATTCACGGTATGATCTATGCTTGAATGTGTTACCTGTGTGGCGACCTGATCGAGCTGCCGCTCCTTCTCCTTGTTGTTTTTGGCCTGCTTCTTCATCTCTCCCATTGTATCCTCGTCCACTATCTTGATGTCCTGTTCGATTGGCTCCCCATACACCAGACGACGCACCACCCCTAACATCACAGTACATTTATTCACGCATCTTAACTTTATCTGTTCCCTTACGTTTCTAACTAAAATAGAAAGTTCCACCAAAGGGGCAGGTGATTAGGATTTTCTTGAGGGGGGGGGGGTCGTTTAAAAGTTTGATGCGCATCTAAAAAAGTCGTCTAAAATTTCGATGACCTTTTTTCGGCTGATCAAATTGATTTTCCGGGCTCTCTTGAAACACCATAGCGACCCTATTGTGACCCAATTTTGGGCCTTTTGGAAAGTTTTGGGACCCTTAGAGCGGTGAACCTAAATCCGCCGCTGGTACTAATGATATATTGTTTTCAGCATATGCGAATATACTTTCAGTTTTAGGTATATATTTTCAATTTACGAAAGTTCATAAAATGACATATTAGTAAAATTAATACTGCCTGGGAGATCACTATTCAACCTACAGATGCGTTTTATATGGTATTCGTTTTTTCAAGTAAAAGTTATGATTTAATTTGAGCATTTATACTAATAGAAACAGTGATTACTGCTATGCTAAGGAAAAAATTTTAAATAGGTTGCCTTAGATAATCCTAAAAATCCAAGTTTAGTTAAGCAAAAATGAAAATATTTTTTACAAACTAGGAAATTAAGTTTTAAACATGATTGCCATGCCATATATTGTTGATCCATCAATTGTTCTAGTCCGCGCCCCCCTAAATTCGACCCAGTGCCGACCCACAAGGCCCCCCCCTTTTGTACTATTATGAAATTTCAGTTTTTGGCTGACTGACCCTAAAATTGTTCTAGAGGCGCCTTTGGCGCCCAGAACACTAATTTTGAGGGTCGGCGTCAAAAAAACACCATTTTGGTCAAAATTTACCACATAGTGCCTAAAAACGCCTTTTCTGGCCTGTTTTTTTTCAAAATTTTGCCTGCGGCGCAAAAAATTTGGTCAAATTGGGACTTTTTTGTGATTTGAGAGATCTCAGAAAATCAATTGGTCTTAAGAAAAGTCGATAACATTTTCTTGAAAATCCACCCTCCCCCCTCGAGAAATTCGTAGATGCTCCTAGGCAGGGGCGGATCTAGGATTTTCTCGAGGGGGGGGCGGATTTTCAAAAAATTTTGACTTTTTTTTGAGGTCGACCAAATAGATTTTTCGAGCTCTCCAAAGCATTTTTTGCAATGTTTTGCCGTTTTTTGGCACTTTTTGAAAAAATTTGACAAAATAGTTGCGCGTTTTTTTGGCGCGCGCTCCACCTCAAAGTTAGTATGTATTGTATTGGCGCCAAAGGCGCCTTTAGCAAAATTTTAGTGTCTGTTGGCCAAAATGAATTTCTTAAAAAGTATCAAAGGGGGACCCTTTTGGTCGGCAGGGGGTCGAATTCCTGAGGGGGGAGGCGTCCGTCCCCCCTAAATCCGCCCCTGATCTTAGGGAAAAATTCCTTGGGAGAAACCCTAGAAACATTTCTGCGCACGCCACTGCTTCTAGCGAATACTTTTTCACTGGAGTTTCATATATTTTAATCAATTAAACCCTTTTTTTATAGCCAGACCAACCACGTTTAAGGATGGCAAGGAGTAATTTATTTGTCCCGAGGTAAGAGTAATTAATGATAAAGACTAACGGTGAAGACTAAGCAGTATGTTTTTCGAACTAATTTTCTACGATACAACTCAATGTAACTAAACTCAAATGAACATTATAATGTGGGCAGAATGCTGTTGAAGCATCGCAGGTTGTTTTATTTGTAAAAATGTCCAAAAAATCAAAAACTGAGGATCTACTCTGCAAGAAAAGGGGGGTAATTGTTATGTAGATTAAGATTGTCGAATTTTTGGTGTCCCACTCTTTAACCCTGCGATATTTAACCCCCTCTGCTTACAACCCCTATTTTATAACCTCGTAACATGATAACCCAACAACCATTTAACCCTCTTTTAATGACGATAATTTGTTTCAAATTAAGTTCTTTTTATAAGTACAGGAGTAGTCCAATTAAGCTTACTAATTGAGGCCTGAAAAGCTAGTCTAAATTCACTTGATGCCTCTAGCATCTCAAAAATATTTGCATTTCGATTAGTTAGAGAAATAATCCCTCACTCACGCGTTCAAAACAGAGATAACCTACATGGTGTTAATTGAGCAGGCCGCTATTCAAGCATTGATGAAAAATTTTCCCGAGACCAAGCTGTCGGGATGTTTCTTCCATCTTTCACAAAGTTTTATGAGAAAAATCGCGGAGCTCGGATTGAAAACGGATTACGAAACAAACCACGAGTTTGCTTTAGCACTCAAATTGTTACTCGCACTGATTTTTGAAAAAGAAGAAGAAATAGGAAATTCATACGATAAAACAGTGGAGGAAATTCAAATAGTTTGCGATCGCACCATAAAAGAGTCGGAAAAAATAGCGAAAGTTGACGAGCTTTGCCTTTGTTTTGGATCTAATTACATACAAAGTCTCGTCCCGAATCGGGAAGCCCTAATCCCCCTTCATTGTGGAATCAATGGGATGCGGCATCATATCGGGTTCGGCCAGAACAACAAATGCTGTAGAGGGCTGGCATTATGGCATACAGTCATACTTAGTGGATCGCATCCCAGTATATGGAAAGTGATTGCAAATTTGTAAATACAACGCTTTAGTGCTAACTTACTGCTTTTATTTATAGGGGTGGTATTTTTTAGTAGAAACCACGGGGCGATTGTTAAATACATCTAAAATAGACCTGAAGATATGAAAAATAAAAAATAACCAACAAATTTGCTGAGAAAAATATTTGACGTTGCTTTGGAGTCAAGTTTACTGCACCAGAATAAACAAGTCTAAAATCTAGCTTTTACTGAATGTGAGCACATTTGAACCTCGAATTCCATAATCATTCTCCGATTTGACGACTGCGAAAAAGATGATCCACATCAAATGAAGAAAGGTTTCATTTTGCACACTAATGATGCCATGCTCTGCTTCACGAAACAAATATCAACAATATCACAACAGTTGCATGTACTACACGGAATAAACGATATGTTTTCCATTGGTCATTAGAAATCTGAATGGAATAGTAGCCAGTCAATATCAGAAGTTTTTTTTTAAAATATACACAAAAAAATCAACCGCATAACTGTGCAAGCAGTTCCGCAACGATTTACTTCAAGTCTGATTTTCCGAAAACAGCCTTTTTGGGTGCTACTTTCCTTTTGAAGGTTTTTGTTAAAATGTTAAATCCTGCGTTCAGAAAACCATTTTATTAGCGCCCATACGTGACCAAAAAATGTCAGAATGTTAATGGCTCCAGCATATCTACTTGAAGATAAAATAGCACGCCTCTTGATATTACTTGGAACGAACGAGCCTGACGTTGATTCAAAAAAAATGCTCAGTAATCATAAACGCTAAAATTATTCAGGAAATGAGGATAAAATGAGATGAAAATGATCAAATTTGATTTGTTGAAAAAGAAATCAGCTTGGCAAAAGCAGGAAATCATTATTATACCGAAACTCATTTAGTCAAAAAACAACAAATGACAAAAAATAATGCGGTTTTATCAATTTGCTTGTTAAACTATGATGTGACAAAAATACATCGGTTAAGTAGCTGTATATTGACACAGTTTTTTTTTTTTGGTTAATAAAAATTTCAAAGACAAATTTTAATTTTGGAACCTATAATCAAAAAGAGCCGAAATGAAAACAAAAAACACCAAAATTTGGCATGTGATCACCGATTTGTGTAACTATGTGTTTTTGCAAATATGTAGAGTGCTGATTTAAATTATCCGGACAAAACAAATAAAACTTGAAATTTAAAATGCTTTTTTTCTGAAACTGGTTTTTTTTGCGAAAAACTGATGAAGACCAATCTTGTTTTAAAAAATCAACTGAATTAAAATGGTGCAATGTGTTTTGCAAAATTTTGGGCCCAAAAACTTACCCCACAAAACGATCAAATTTAAATTTCAAAATTACTCCCATTATACTAATCATTTACTGACAAAACTAGATCACTGCAAACCTTTTATGTAGCCCAACAAAATTTAAGAAGGGTAAATTTCAAGATCTGGTCAATTTTTTTGTATAAACACATTTATCTTTGCTTCATAGCCAAAAAATGAACTTTTCACTTTATAAACTACCAATTTTTTAAATACCAACTTTCAAAAACCTTTTGCGCCCACTTTTGGTGTTTAAATTTTTCCTAAATTTTGTTGGGCCACATAAGAGGCTTGCAGTGATATACTTTTGTCAGTAAATGAACATTTAGGTTTGAAGTAATTTCTGATTGACTAAAAAAAGCCAAACTTGTTCAGTTTTACGGGTAAAGTTTTGTGATTGACTTTTGCAAAAGAAAATACACCAAACTCATTTTGCTAAAATTCTAACCAAAATTAGTCTTCATCAGTTTTTGTCTAAAATTAACCCAATGTGAGAAAACGCCGCGTATTAGATTTCATTCTGTTATAAATTTCATAAATTTGATTCATTTTGTTCAGATAATTTAAATCAGCACTGTATCTCAAATCAGAAAACCAATGAGTTAAACGGCATCACAAATGGCTCATCCAACAAATTGAGATGTGCCAACTAAGTTGAATAAGGAAATTCACAACGTACTCCAACTACTAACTTGACTATCTAGAAGAAGTATTTCGAATCGAATTTATTAGAAATTGAGCCTGTCTTTAAATTTACTATTCCTAAATTGACCATTCTGTGACCAAAGTTATTTACGAGAAAAAAAAATGTCTAGTACCCAGTTGCAATATCCTTGTTCATCACAATGGTGATAACTGTTAGACTAAAGGCTGTGATATTTTTGTACACGCTTGAATGAGACGAAAGTTTGGCACAACAGACTGGTAATTTAATTTGGTACAAACCCTACTGCTTTTATGTTGAAACAAATGGGACTTTTTTTCTGTACCAGCACGAAAAATTTTTTCTGTACCAGCACAACGGCTTCTGCGTTTTTGTACTCCTGAAAAACAAAACACAAATTTTTTGGTATTTCTGTGCTTC